ATTATTATTTTACATATATATATATATATATATATACATACATGAATGGGTTGTTTTTAAGTAAGCAGGGAAATATAAAAAAATCGATAAAAGAAATGCTTACAAATAATTAAATTAAGTTACTTATTACTGAACAAAATTAGGTTAATTAAGCACTTAACAAAATGAAGCATGGTACATACAATTTGTTGACAAATAGCCCAGAAAAAGAGGCATGGGGGAAACGCTATTGCTTTTAAGAAGTTAAGTTTCTCTTTTTTTTTTTTGCCTGTGGATTATCAGCTTTTTCCATTTTTATTTCTCAATTATAGATAAATATATGTATGTCAGTACAATAGGTAAGTTATACTGACAGTAATTAATTAATAATGATTGTAGATAATCAATAAACACATTTTTCTATAAAGAAAGTTACCCACAAGAAAAAAAAACTCGTTAAGTTGTTCGAGTTATATTTGGAAAAACTCGCTATTAAGATCTGGTTTTAAGTTAACATCTTTAAAACAATCAAGCCACTGAGATAAAATCTACGTTCAAATAAATACAAGATGCATTCACGCCTACACATTACATCTGTGTAAGACATTCAATTCATTCATTTCCTTTCTGTAAAAGTTTACTGTAAGAGTCTGTCACCACTAGTGAAACGCTTTGTTTTGGTTTGATACTATAAAGTCTTTCACAAGAGAGTCGGATTAAAACACTTACATTACACCATGTAAAGTAGTCTTCACTTATTATCTCTAACGATATAATTTGATTTTAAAAAAAATTGGTATTCGGTTTATTTACTTTTCCTCTTTGGCTACTTATCATAGACTGGAAATGTGGTATAGAATCTCTCTTAGAGAATTAGAGTAGCCATAAATCTGTCAATCAAGAGAGAAAAAATAAACATAGCTAGTGAGGGAAAGTAAATCATTGAGAAGAGTCTTTTTTCAAAGATTTTTTAATGCTTGAGAACACAAGAATGTTTTATTATTGTTATTTTTGAGAATGTAACAATACAATATGTATTATTGTAGTTTAACAAAAATATATAATAATAGGTTGTAATAATAGTCTTTTTCATTAAATAAGATAAAATCTACAAAAATTTACATATTGTAATTTCCCCACTTAACAACAAACATGATTTATTTTGCTATATTTTATTTTATTATATTTTATTTTATTATATTTTATTATATTTTATTTTATTATATTTTATTGTATTTTATTATATTTTATTTTATTTTATTTTATTTTATTTTATTATATTTTATTATATTTAACCCTTTGATTACTAACGGGACTCATTTGTCCCAATAAATGTTTAAAAATTGCTAATGGACATATGTGTTCCACCATTAGGTACGGCCGGGACATATATGTCCCAGTCTCTAAATTGATAACCGCTTCTCAGAAGAATCCCAAATACTAAATTTGCCTTATTTGTGACCTATTTTGTCCTTTTGAATAATAAACGGAACAAAAAAAATCTTTTTTTAAAATTCGTAGTCAAAGGGTTAATGTTATAATCGACGTTGTACAGCCTACCCAATTTTTAGTGTACAGCTACCGATGTTCAACTCTTTAGCCTTGAAATATTGAACCCAATTCAAAAGACAAGGGAATTCCTGATTCAAGTTTTTGCCTTTGTGGAGGTTTTTTTGATGGAATTAACCAGCATTTGTGTTTAATGGAGAAAAAAACCACCCACTGCTAGCACGACAGCAAGGAGACTCTAATCCATTATCCGTCTACTAATTGTGGGTATTTTACGTCAGCAATATGGTCGGTGTGAGTCTGGTGCGGAATTCGTATTGACCAGCCATTGCTGCTATTCGAACCCGGCTTAACTCATTGGGAGTATTGGGGGGCGAACGCTTTATCCCTTAGGCGCACCAGGCCTTTGATTATTTCATTGAGAAACGAGACTCATTTCTTAAGTCCCCTTCTAAACGGTTAATAAGAAAAGAAATTTAAATTAAGACAATCAATTTTGATATCAGCATACATACAAGTTGTTCACAAGTACCACCCTTTATATACAAGTTTTAAATTCGTGTCAAATGAGTTTGAGGTCACTCAATCGAAGAAAAAAAATTTGTCAGAACTTGACTAAGTTGGCTTAAAAAAATAAAAATCTGTTTAATTGCCAAAAGAAACTGGGGAAAGTCTATTATAAATATTAAAGTTTCATAAGGCTATTAACAGATGTTTTTTCTCAAAAATGATTAATCAGATTCCATTAACGTTTTTACTTCCTTAAATATTAATTTAAGATACCTTGTGTGCATACTTTTTAACTTTATTTTTGACAAGGATTCTAAAAGTATATATTGATAGCCGTGCTTACAGAATACTCAATATAGAAGGCTCTGTTTTACTCTTTCATTGCAGTTTTTTTAAAAAAAATTTTTTTTTTACCTTACTCAATCGAAAAACATTTCTTTTGTAAATTACTTCTACTCTTGGATTTTTATAGGTAGTAAAGCTAAATTAATACATGTTACTGATTCCAGCCATAAGCTACTAAATTATATATAAATAATATACCTTTGTCTTAATAACCAAAATCAACTTACTTCCATCCGAAAAAATTGAGCAATTTTTTTTATTCAACATTTTTGTAAGAAAACGATTATTCTACTTTTGCCCGACTTATTAAGCAATGTTGAATGATTTTGCCTTGCTTAGTGATACAAAACTTCAAAGATTTAATACTTCTTTAATTCTTTATATAGAATCAAAAATAATTGATTTTTTAGAGTTTAATGTAGAATAAATTTTTCGACGTAGATATGACGTGAATGAAGTTTAAGCTCGATTTTCTCTGGGCAAAATTCAGGTCAAGAAAGTGGATTTATTTAATTTTCATCTTCGGATTGAAGGTTAATACATAATATCTTTGCTAATTTATCTCGTCTTCATTAAGGTGCAATCACCTTTCTGTTATAGATTACTATAGCATTATATAATTAATTTCTTATAAAATAAATTGAGAGAATAATTTAGTTCCCCGATAATTTTCAAAAGCTTCATCAAATTTCGTGTACAGTGCGCAACATAAAAAATGGACCACCCTCAATAACTTTTGATCTAATGATCGGATTTTTACGTTCTAATACTCATTCTTAACGATTCGAGGGGGTGACCTCAAATATGCTAATTAATAAGCGCAGACGATATTTAAAGTAACGAAATAAGGTACGAAGACGTACTTTCTCTGAATAAAAATATCTTTTCGGATTTATCTATTTGAATTTCTGACCCACGAAATATAGGGGATAGCCGCAATCTGGAAAATATGGCTCCAAAGTTTAGACCGCTCTCTTGACCAAACTATTTCCCAGATTGCGGCAACCCCCTTACATTTTGGGGGTCAGAAATTCAAATCAGTTGAAAAAAAGATATGTTCATTCAGAGAAAGTACGTTTTTGTGTCTAATTTCGTAGCTTAAAATACCGTCTGCAATAATTAATTAGCATATTTGAGGTCTCCCCCCCTCGAACCGTTAAGAATGAGCATTAGAACGTGAAGATCCGATCATTAGACCAAAAGTAATTCATGGTGGTCCGTTTTTTATTTTGTGCATGGTACATCTTGTGCGAGACAGCATTGGAAGACAACTTTTGAGTGTCTGTCACTTGCATCTGAGTCGCATGTAAGTAAGAAAATAAAATCCTCTTAAGAGATAGCCAGAATCAGCATATTCCTCGAAATAATTTTAAGTGGATAAATTACGAACTTAGTGTCATGTGTAACTGAACATGTCTGAACTTATGTTGAAAAAAGGTTCTTGTCATAAGGCTTTAACAAGTCAGCAGTTTTTCCACAACAAAAGTTTTTTTTACTTCTTACTTTTGAATTTTGAAGCTTTTAATCGTTAATGAATTTTATAATCTATTATATTAGGTTTAGTTTAAGAGTTGTGATTTCTCTGTCTCAATAATATACGAAAACTGTTATTTTTGTAGCTTATGCTCTTAGTATGAAGAAACTACTTTGAAATTGTAGTATAAGGAACTTACATTATGCATGTCAGACTAATTTATGAATGTGTGTAAAATAGAGTTTAAAATATCTCAATTAAAATATAACAGTTAGGATTTGCAGTAATGGTGTAACTAAAATTTCCAAGATTGATTGATTTTTCTTGTGTAGAACTAATAAAAATTTCTTGACATAAGCAATAGACTAGAATGTTGTGCGGAACTAACTAACAATAAGTCTAAAAAGATTATAAATATCATATCTATTGTTTTTTAAATGTTCTGATTTTTTTCTGTAGCAAATTGGTGTTTTATTAATTGTGGACAAAATATATTCCCTTAGATAAATATATATTATCAGAATTAATCAGAATATCTCAATATTGTCAAAAACTAAATATTTGTAAATTCAGTGCATTAGGGAAATTTGAAAATAACTCTTTAAATACTCCTTTTAAAAATAAAATAAAATCATGTATCGAAAATTACTTGTAGAAACATTTGACATAAAGGACAAAACCAAATTAATATTGGGTGACAGCTTTGCTAAAGTTAATAACCTAAGTAAAAAAAAAGAATAGTGATAAATGAAAAAAAATCAATTATAACTTATGTATTCATTTAATAAAATCAACGACTAACAAATAAGAAGAGCTATTACTGTCAAAAATAGTTGTCATAATTGTACTAAAACAGTTACTACTATAAAAGTTTTATAAAAATTGCTAAAAATATTGAAATTAATTATCTGAATCCATTAAACGTTAAACATTTTATTTTTTAATCAAGTCAGGAAGCAAATTATAAGGCAGAATGCCTTATGCAAAGTTCACTTTTATTTAAACCACGCCCTTCTATTCCTTCATCAGATAATATTTTCCTTGTTTATTTTGATACTTGGACAAAAATATATGGGTAAAAAGTTTTTTTAAATTTTTACCTCATTATCTATGCATAAATTTGCATAAAAATGAAAAAAACATTAAAACTGTCAAAAAATACTCTAATAATAATTTTATTTACCTTGTTTGCAATTTGGGCACTGAGTCCATAGGAAGGTCCACGGTAAGCCATGACTTTCAATGGTTTGCTTGAAATCTAAACTGTGAAGAACTGAAAATATCCCACCCACACTAGACTTATGAATACTGGGCTCCTGACGTCACTGTTTCCACTTTCAGCTCCGATGAGAGAACTCTTTTTTTTATTTTTTTTTATACTAAAGAGAAAGAATCTTTTCAAAGATTATTCTACCATCTCGAAGAAGATTAATGTTTTTCTCTTGCACGAGGAGGAATTTAATTTTATGATTTGGCAGACTTGAAATTCGATGCGTTCGTTTGTTTGTTTGGACATAAATGAAGATTTCAGAATAGTAAAAGAAAAAAAAAATCCTAGGATATTTTCAGCAGGATAGCATTTTGTGAGAAATATAAAAATTCAAAACCCTGTTTTATTTTATTTTGTTTTGCTCGGGAAGGAATTTAATTTTATGACAGATTTGAAATTTGATGAGTCAGTTTGTTTGGTTACAAATGAAGATTTCAGAATTACATAGAAATTCTTATATTTTTAGCAGACTTGCATTTTGTGAAAAAAAAAATTCAAAATTGAAATTTTTATTTCAGTTCTTTTTGCATTTTGAACATCATTTTTGCATAGTTATTTTCCTGGTTATTTTCTAATTTCATAATAGATTATTTTCATTTCTGATTTGTGGAAGGGTTGAAGTTTAAGACAGCTAAAAATCGCCTTAGCGAAAGTAATAAAATAAATTTCTAATTCTGGTTAAATCTTCGATGACAGAAGATGAGGAACAATTTTTCCTCTTCGAAATCAGACAACAAAGAGGAATAACAGTATTTGCCTTAACATATGCAAACATTTTCTGAAAGTGTCCAAAACTTAAATAAAAAAAATTTCTGCTGTTATTTTAGTTAATGGCGGGAGTACATAAAAAATTGAATTTTCGTCAGTTCTGTTGACTTGGTTTGAGACTATATCCTGATTAATTCCCTCTTTTAAAAGTATTATTGCATAAAATTAAAGTAATATAAGTTTTTAATACTAAACTTTTCAGCATATAATTTTTATTAAGCCTACAAATTTTGTTATTCACGGTACGGTACTTTATTTACTATGCACTAGAGCTGTACAATGAGCTATTGGCGACTGTCTGGGAAACATCCCTGAGGGTGATTGGAAGACATGCCTTCGCAATTTTGATCCTCTGCAGAGTGAATGATTCCTCTGCTTTGGTAGCCCGACGACCTGCGATTTTGTTATTCACATGTTACATAATTTTATTTTTTAAAATTTAATTATGATCATTCTTGCTTTATAGGGTTCTGCGTAAATTCGTTACGCACAATTTGTTGTGGGACAGTTCGTTGTGAACTTAATTCGTCACAGTGACAATTCTCTGCGGGCATAATTCATCGCGAGCATAGTTTGTCCTAGGCTCAGCTCGTCGTAGTGGCAATTCGTCTAGGACACAATTCGCTAAGGTACCAATTCTAGTTCTAGTTCATTTACGTCACACTGGAGCTGCACAATGGGCTATTCGGTCTGGGAAAGATCCCTGAGGATGATCCGAAGACATGCCATCACAATTTTGATCCTCTGCAGAGGGGATGGCACCCCCGCTTCAATAGAACAATGACCTGCACGATGAGTGGACCAGTAATAATGGGGGGAAAAAAAGAAGAGAGAGGTATTTTTTTGTAAAAATTCACACAAGACATTTCTAGATAAAAATCATTGTTATGTTAGTATAAATAGTTAGTATGTGATACTTGAAAATTTCTAATCTCTCCTCTGTACGCTTCCCCCTTTTGTTAGGAAAATGAGGGGGATTTGAAGGGGAGAATTGAGTTTCTTCTAGATAAGCAAGTGAGGCATGGCTTCTGATGCATTTTTTTCCTCATGCAATTGGATAAAACCAATCTCGAGACGATAGAAGCAATAGTTTCGAAATAATAAGCGTTTTGAGAACAAAAAGTACAAATTTATAATTGTACCTATTTAAGCATCTGATATTGCTATCTAAACAAGTAAGACATTATTTCTAAGTATTTTTTCATGATAAACCGAATGAGGCTATACACAAGTCAGTAGAACAGATAGTTCAAAAGTTCTAAAAGTTTTTATATAAACCACTAGTAATGAATCGTACTTACTTGTCACTTTACTCTGATATCCAGTTACTATCTGAGCATGAAAACTATCCACCGTAAGTTTTGCACTAAATTGAATGTGACCAATCCGGAGATGATCTGACAAATAATTTAAAAGTTGTGTTTTCTTCATAATAAGCTCAATTCAAAAAGAGTATTTTTTATATAAAAAATTCCATTTCAACTTTTAAAATACGAGCTCTTTTGATTCATGTTTGGTCTCATTAGATTAAGTTAAAAAAAAATACATAGGAAGCAATACCTCACTTGTCTACGCAACAATGTAAATTGCGTAAATAAATAAAGTACGAAGTTCCATTTTTGGGTACACAAAACCCTTATAAATGTTTAATTGTCTATCATATCGATTCCTGTTCTGTATAATTTAATTCAGTAAGAAAACTACATCGAAAAATATACCTTACATGCTCAGATAGTACCTGGATAGCAATATGAAGTGTGTACATAAGTCTCATTCGATTCAACGTGTAAAAATGCGTAGGAAACGGTGATCCTTTTGTTTAGATAGCAATGGGTAAACAAGTGCAAGTGCAAAATTGTACTTTTCGTACTTTAAATGCTTGCAACTTTAAAACTATAAGTCTGATCGTTTCGGAATTGGTCTCACTCAATTTAGAGTGAAAACTAAGTAGGTAACAGTGCCTTACTAAGTAGGTACAGTGCCATATTTATATGAAATTCAATTCTTCCCTTCAACCCCTCATTTTTTTCCACAAAACAAAACGGAGGGGGAAGAAGCCTACTGAGGAACTAGGTGAATTTTTAGGTATAATAATAGGATAAAGTTTTTTATGAGAAAAAAAGTCTTGAGTATTAATTTTTGCGAAAAAGTCTAATTTTACTAGTTTTACAGGAAAAGTCCAATTTCACAGGACTAGAAGGACATCTATTTGCGAAGACAAAACTCTTGCCATTGTCTACATAGGTTAACTAGATATTTAATTTGCGGCAGTTTCACATAGCGAAAGCACTTAGGGGGATTGGATTTGTAATTTACTTAATGCTACTTACAAGGGGCAATGTTTATGTGAGATACTAAACTTTCCCCCTTTTATTTTCAATTTTTTTTAAACGCAAAAAGATGTAAAAAAATGTGTAAAAATTGAAAAATTCAAAAATTTCAGATTTGTAATTATAGATAAATTTGGGGAAGGGAAAAGTGAGATAAAATGTCTTTAATCAGTTTTAAAGGTCAAGATTTTTAACCATCAAAAATTCATTATTTAATACAAAAAAAATTTTTGAAGAATATTCTGTGAAATATTTATAAAATAAATTGAAACGTAAATTTAGTTTTTTAAGAAGTTATATTTTTATTTTAATTTCTTTCTAAAATTAGAATAAGATACTAAAAGTCAAAGGAAAAAAAGAGATTGTGTTGGAAGAGGCTTGCAATTTTCTTATTTTGCCGAAAACATGTACAATAAGCAAAATAAAAAACGGAACACCCTGAATAACTTTTGATTTAATGATCGGATGTTCACGTTCTGGGATTTATTCTTAAAGGCTCGAGGGGGGACCTCAAATAGGCTAATTAATTAGGGCACACGATATCTTAAGTTACAAAATCAGACACAAAAACGTTCTTTTTCTGATTAAACATATCTTATTTCGACAAATTCGGATTTTTGACCCCCAAAATAAAGGAGGCAGCCGCAATCAGAAAAATAAGGTTAATCCATTATCATCTCCATTAATTTGGTCCAGAGAGCGGTTCAAAGTTTGGACCTCTTAATGTAAATTTCATTTTTTTGCGTATTTCGCCATATCTCAAGAATTTTTTATGCGAATTGAAAATTTTTCGCACACAATTATAAAATTTTTTTATCCAAAAATAATTCCATGCAAAATATAACTTTTAGTAAATATTATTGTTTTTTTAAATTTTATTTAATAGCAGCCGAAAAAATTTTGAATTGTAAAGCAAAACATTTTTTACATAATTTTAAAGGATTTAATTTTACCGGGCAAAATACAAAATTTTAAATCGAAATTTAAAAAAGCCGTATTCTTAAAATTTGATTTCTCAGGAACTATTCGACCGATTTCGCTCAAAATTTGTATTTTACCATGTAAAATTACATTTGTTAAAATTATGTAAATATTATGTATCTTGCTATTCAAAATTCTTTCGACCATTAAAAAAATTTTTCTTTAGAGAAAGTATGTTTTCATATAATTTCATAATTTATGAACCACCTGCACCGTATAATTAGCATAATTTAAAGTCTGCTTCGTAAATCATTGGTATGGCATCACAATGCAAAAAAATATGGGATGGTTCTAGAGATATGGTGACATTTTCAAAAAGTAAATTTAACAGTAAGAGGCACGATTGTTTTTCTAGTAAATCTATTTCGACCAAATTTTCCAAACTGTAGCTACTCCTTAAAATTCGAATCAAAAATATAAATCCGTCGTAAAAAATATGTTTCTCTAGAAAAAGTATGTTTTTATATAATTTCATAACTTATATATCGCCTTAATTTAAAGTCGTCTCTTAAATCATTGTTATAGCACCGAAATTCAAAAAAAATATTCCGATCAAAAAAATCAAAAAAATATTTAGAATATTCTGTTTTTCATTTTATTTAAAAATATTTTAGATTGACTTTTACTGGTCTCATAACCTAAAAAGCCTCACATTCGTATGTGATAGCTAAATTTATATATATATATATATATATATATATATATATATACGGTTANTGTTTTTAAGTACCCATTTTGTGGATCCGTAATTTAAACTTGCACCGATTTGCAATTTCCTGATTAAATTAAGTGATATTATGTTTTTAAGTACCCATTTTGTGGATCCGTAATTTAAACTTGCACCGATTTGCAATTTCCTGATTAAATTAAGTGATATTATGTTTTTAAGTACCCATTTTGTGGATCCGTAATTTAAACTTGCACCGATTTGCAATTTCCTGATTAAATTAAGTGATATTATGTTTTTAAGTACCCATTTTGTGGATCCGTAA